ATTAAATTAAAATTACTAAAAAAATAAATATTTAATATTTAATAATTAATTTAAATTGATTTTTTATTTACCCAATGTTTAAATATTCTTTACTTGTTTTTTCTTCATACACCAACCATTTATTAACATCCTTTGATTGAATTATTTTTTGACAATGTAGAATTTGACTTGGTGAATTATATATCTAAAAAAATAAATTAATAAATTAAAATAAATTTATAAATTCTCTTTAATTTCATTAAACCTTTTAATTTCTTTGCAAAATTTCTTTAAAAAATTATTTTTTAATTTTACAAATCTAAGTTCATTATTTCTTTCCAAAAATGAGACTTGATTTTGAATCATTAACTAAAAATAATTAATTTAAAAATTTAATACTAAATTAATTTAATTAACTTACTAAAATTAATATTAAATTTTGAGTTTTATATATTTCATTAATCAAATTATTAAAAGAAATACCAAATATCAGAAATATTATCTTGATTTTCATATATTTGATTAAATTTAACATTATATTATTAAATTTGAATCAATTAAATCAAATTTAACTGCTGCAACTCCAACCCATTCATTATATACATGATCAAATAATATACAAATTTTAAAACATTGTCAATTATTATTTCTAACAGTATATATATTTAATAAACAATATAATATATTAAAATTACAATAAAATATAATTACCCTTATTATTTTTGGTTTTTTTGAAAGGTTTGAATAAACTTGATTCAAAGTTAACAGGATGTTAATTAAAAATAAAATATATTAATAACTTACAACTTAATCTATTTTGTTTAATTGATTTATTTAAAATATTAAATAAAATATAGATGTTTAATGGGTAGGTTTGAATAGATAAAACCATTTGTTAAATATCTTGTAATATTATCACATTGATTAATATTATTCATTTAATGTTTGTAATATTTTTTGAACTGCAAAATTAATAAAACATGTTAATTTTCATTAAATTCAATAGCTAAGAAAAGTTATATTATTGCTTGCATTGTCAATTGTTATACTAGAAATTTTTAAAAAATTTAATAAGTAAATATATTTATTTGAATATAAAATATAACTTTATTTAAAAGATTATATTCATTAAGACTTTAAAAAACTTTCAGCATTATCACCCAAATGTGATTCAGGTTTAATAAAATCTAAAAGCAAATTTTTTAATTTATAATTCTCAGAAATCCAATGTACTGTAATTCCCAAAAAAGGCAAACTATTTGATGAGATCCAAGCATCAGCAGTAAAAGAAATTTACTTGGTATTTTCTATAAAAAAATATTGCCTATAAAAATTGTATTTTTTTTGTTTTTATTAAATATATTATTTTCAAGTGTATTGGCTGAAGAAACTGGAACTTATTTTGTAAAATGGATATATTTTTAAAATCAGAAGATTCAACACTTGTAAAAGGAAGGTTGTTAACTACAATCCATTTTATAAGCAGTTGTCAAAAATTTTTCTATCTAAAATTTTATTACCAAAACTATTTTGAAATTCTTTATGTTCAAAATTTGTAAAAATAGTTTCTTCTGAAAATTATCATAAAAGTGAACATTTTAAATGAATAATCATGAATTAATAAATTTGATCTAAACATTACTACTTGTCTTTTAACTAATCTTAAAATTCATGGAAAAATACTACTTTCCCATTCACATGGACTTTAAAAAATTTTGTAATTTTAGTACATTTTTCTAATATATTTTAGCAAAAGTTGTTTTTGCAATATCTGCTGCTATTAAATTGATATGTGCAATATATCAAAGAAATATGTGGATATTTTTCAATAATTTTTTTAGCACTAAAACTTAGTTTTTTAATTTTTAAAAATATATAAATTCAAATTCAATAAAATTACAATATAGTATATCAAATAAATATCTTTGAAATTTCTAGTATACATTTTTGATACCAATTTGGATAATGAATTTTCATTAAATTAATCAAAACCTCATTTAACTAATAGTTTAATTTCACTAACATTTAATCAATGCATTAAAATATAAAATTGATAATTGATATAAATATATAAATGCAAATAATAAATAATTTGAATAACTTCCTGTAGTTCCCAAATAATCACCAGAATTTTAAAGCATTGTGGAATATAATTTATGTTCCAAAATGTTCACTTGATTTTTCATGAAATTCTTTTGATTGATGAGATCTATTAGTTGAAGTGAGACCAGTATTGTTGAATACAAAAATCTGCAACATCCAAAAATTTTTTTTGATTGTCATCAAGATCAATTATTCATATCAAAGTTGCATTATCATGATTTACAAGATAATATAACTGATAATAATTAATAAAGTATTTTACCAAATATATCTTGTAAACCTGGAATTCCAACCATTAATTAATAAATTTTGCAATAATCATTTTGTTTTGTACAAAGTTTTGATGTATTTTCTAACTTAATAATTTCTTGTGCTTCAGAAAATATTCATGTTTTTGCTACTCTAATTTTGATTTTTCTTAAGGCATTTGGATGAAAATTCTTTAATTATTCCAATATTATTAGTATTCCAAATAAAACTTCAAATATTTTCATAATTTAATTTATCAATTTAATCAAATTGTAAAAAAAGTAAGATTTTTTTCAAAATCTTTAAAATTTGATCATATTTTTCAAAAAATAAATTATGTAATGAATTAGTTTTTCATCAATATTAAGAATATAATGATGATTATCATCATTATAAAAAATAGGTTCCTTTTCTAAATTTTCATTATATTAAAATCAAAATCCAAAATTGATTTTGGAATATTTGGAATAATTTGATTTAATTCATCATTTAATTTTCTTGGATTATTTGAGATTTAACAGATAAATCATCTAAATTTTTTAATATTTGATCAAATTTTAATATCATTAAAAATAATTAGATTATAATACTATTAATAAATGTTAAATTTGAATCAATTAAATCTAATAACTGCCATAACTCTAATCCATTCATTATATGCTTGATTAAATTACAAGCATATTTTTGATAAAATTGTAACTTTGTCATGTCTATGTTCAAACTATTATGAAGCTTCTATCCTTTTGATTTTGTGTTGATATGTGAGGTTATCTGGTTTACCAGATAATCTGGCTGATACAAAGTCCTGATGTCTAGGGAGGTATCTAACCTGATATTTTTCAATATTTGTATTAAGGTTGTTCTTAGTCTTTTTTGAAATATCAGTATATCTGTCAAAGCTTAAACATGCTAGCTTATTATAATCATCAAGGGTTTTTGTTTCTGATGATTTTCATTTCATATAACTATTATATAATTTGACAAATACTAATTGTTGAATATAATATTTTAAGGTTTCAAATCTTTGTTTAATGGATATTTTTAAATTAAGATTTTAAATAATTTCAATAATTAGGTATTAATAACAATTAGATTAATATAAAATCTAGTATATTAATAAGAAATTTAATAAAAATATCTTATGTATCATTAATATAAATCAAAAGTTTATGATAATAAAATGATCTTGATATCTAATTCGGTTAAGTTTGGATTTGAAAAAAAATAATTGATCATTGATTTTAAAATTCAAATCTACTATATAAATCAGTTATAAAAGATAACTTATATTTTTATAAAATGTATGCATAAAATTAAGTTGTTTGAATTTTGTTGCTGATTTTAAATCAAGAAGTTGTTTTTTAATAATGATTAAAAAAATAATCATAATTGAGTAGATAAATGAGAAGCTATATCATATAATATTGAAATAGCAAAACTTTAAGAATGAATGATAAAAATAAGAATGGGAACAAATGTAAAAATTTTTTCTTAAATCTATCAACAATGTTTATATGATAATATAGCACTTCGCATTTCGTAAACCATTCCCTCCATATTTCACTTCACATTTCGCAATCCTACCTATTCTACTTATCATATTACAAACCCATTACCCCACCTCACATTTTGCAAACCTCCATTCCACTTTACGTTTCACGAGCCTATTCCCTCCTTTACATTTTGTAAACCTGCCCATTCCACTTCACTTTCATCTCCGTATCGAAAACCTATCCAATCCACTTTTGCGAACGAATTCATTCTACCTCACATTTCACGAATCCGATCACTCCAGGTTTTGCAAATACAACTACTCCGCCTTACATTTCCCAGACCTATTCACCCCATTTCACATTTCACGAACCCACCTATTCATCTCTTATTTCGTAAACCTATCTACTTTACATTTCAAAACCCACCTATTTTACATATAATTTACAAATCCACCCCACATTTACACGAATAGTACACTCCATAATGTAAAAAAATATTCTATTTTTGTTTGAGTATGCACCGTTATTAATTGACAGATGGATGTGTACCATTAAAATATCCAGGAATAGAAATTCTAGGGATAATATAATATAAATATATAAAAATTTGAGGAAAAAATTTATTTTTGTACAAGTGCATGTCAATATAATTTTTGGATCCGAAAATTTCCTGCCCGCCTTCAAAAAAAATTACTAATTTATTCATTAAAGGAAATTTAACTTAACAATGAAAATGTCTGAATAAAAATCTCATGGACGGTTTCAAAAATAAATTAATATACTATATTTAATGGAAGAATATCAAATGCATTAAGCCTTAAAACAAGTTCGGGGTGATGAAAAAGGCGAAAAAATTTTTATTTCTATATCCTAAATGAATTTAAGAGAAAATCGCAGGTGACCTCAACTCATGAACTAATTCGACCAAATTCCTTTATTGTATTCCGAATTAAGCCTGATCCACATCCTGAATCTCCTCGCATATGTCGAGCGGGAAATACAGTATCAAATCATGAACAAAAATAACAGTATATTATGCACCCGCGCACAGATAGCTATTGACGTACAATAAAGGAAACTATGAACCCTGCATAGGTTAAACCACCTTCAGGTAATAAAATGCCGTATTTGATTTCTTTCGTGATGCTGAAGTCTTCATCCATTTCAGATTCTCTAATGTCAATTGCTCATATAAGCCTGACATCAGATTTGGTGCACGATATCTCGAAGATTCAAAATGATTCACACTCAAGTGATATCGAAATCGTTTTGCCAAATGGACAAAAAATTTTGTGCCACAAGTAAGCTTAAAATTGGTTGTCTGTCTCATGAATTGTCAAATGCTAACTTAAATTACATTTGTCTTAACGGAGATTAATACTGTCTTCTCGCTCCTCCACTTTTCGAAATCTCTTATCCATCACCGACAAGTCCAATTTTTCTTATGAAGCACCTCTCTTTCGATTCTCCAATGTTCACAAGATGAAATCTTTCGAAATTAATCAATTATTCATGGAATCGCTACCGTCGGCAATTCAACTAGAGGAATTCTCACAATCGTTAAAACCCGTGTTCGCGTATCTTTACACCGGGATGCTTAACTGGGATAACTACACCGAAGAGAACCAGTTGTTTGCACTGTTGATAATCATAAAAAAATTAGAGCTAGAAGAATTGGTATTCCCCGTCTTGGAGAACTTGAACAAATCTCTCAGCACCAGAAACGCCATCCACTTCTTCAACTTAAGTTGCGAGATGATCGATATGGAGAAATCACATGTTTCCTCTTCTACTTTTAATTCCTTGGCGGTCTCGGAGATTCGCCCTTCGTCACTTTCCACTCTCTTTCAACAAATCACAGAGATCTGCTATCAATACCTTCGCAGGGAAGATGCGTTAAACAGCACCAAATTCTCCATTTATAATACAAAAAGTATATCTTTTAGTGCGCTTAGATATTATCTCGTTCGTGAATCGAACAATCGGCTGACATCTGAAAATATCGGCCGTCACGAAATTGTTGCGCCCACAAGAGACACAGTAGCTTTTAGGTTTTTGGTAGAGTGGATTAAAACCCATGAAAATTGTGAGATCTTTATCACAGATATACAGAAAGATGAATTATTTGGGTTGATCGATCTAAGCGCGGTAGGACCAAAAGTTTTGCTTGAGGAGGTAAATTTACGATCATTTTTGAGACAAAAATCATCAGCACCGCAACCTAATAACTTTTTTTCTTTCCAAAAAGGTCATCCCTTCAACACTAATATCATTGCCTCAACTTTACGACGCAATGAAATCAATAGTCAGCGACGTTGTCAAAGCAAACGAACAAGCCAAAAAACACAGCACAGCCTCGACATTTAGCACGTTGGATTCCAACACCACCACATCTATACCATCAATCTCGCTAGTCTCAGATAGAACAGGATTTCTGGTAGTTCCGCCAAAACTTGCCACGTCCCTGAAGAAGTTGGGGAAGAAGCACATTCCTACAAGTCTAAGCCGAAATAAATCGTCTCGACGTACCAGCAACATCGTTGATTTTCCGCACTTATCCTCACAACCCTCTCAGAATGCCCGGAGACCAATGAAGCAAATACGGAGCAACCAATATTCGAAGTTTCAAACACAAATGTCCGAACAAGAATCCGAAATACTAGATGGGAGCGAAATACTTGATCCTCACAAGGACCTTAGTCGTCATTCTGAAATTTCAGCAGCTGTTGATAGCGTTTTCAAGGCCATCGCACAATTTGCTAAATCTCGGGATTCAAACGAATCCGGAGTACCTTTAAGTAGATCCACATTTGGTATAAAGGATAATCAATCGATCAAAACCATTTCCACAAATTCATCGAAATCTCTTTTGGTTGGCGGAAATGAAACTGACACCAGCTACACTAACGTTCATACCGAAGATACAAATTATAGTATTGGCAACAATTATAATCCTAACGACGATACCGTTCATCGAACTGCTGTCAGCCGGGCGAACACGGTTAACTCTACTCGAAGTGCGTATCGGGATCAACGTGCAACACCAAAACTAAAGATTTTGAGGAAAACCACTTCTTCCTCTACCAAAACATCATCCACGAAATCAGAAACTTCAAATCCAAATTCCACAAATGTGCCAATAGCCTCTTTCCCGGACTTTTTACCAAATATTGACATATCCAGTAGTTCGAGTGACGGGTTTTTTGACGAGATATTTAATATGAATGGAAAAATCGTGGATGGTTGACAGCAACAACGACGTTAAGATAACAGAGAACGCTAGTCGTGATCATTAACTAGCCTAATCAGAGAAACTTAAGTGTTTTCGAACAGTTATTGATGAAAAAACTTTCTTAATAGAATTAGAACATTAGGTAACCGAATTAATAATTAGAGCATTAATTATTATAATATTAATATAAATAATAGCATTGGCATCAAATATTGCATTTGTACCAATAATATAAAAATATACTACACAATTAATGGAGTGTCAAAGTTAACGAGTGGTACACTTCGTACGCTCCGGGAATTAAAATAGAATGATGAAACTTAAAAAATGGTCCGCTAAAATAAACTAGACTATGAGGACCGTAACCCAAAAGAATTTTAAAATAAGGATATTGAGATCATAAGGTTTCACTATGTTTAAGTTGCAAGTAGAGGTTATGGAATTATAAACAAAAAATAAATATTTTTCCACCAATTATGCACGTAAGAACTCAAGAAGTGACTTATTGATTTGGATATGATATAAATGTCTAATGAAAATAAAAATCCTTATATTCGTGTATTTAAAATAAGATATTGAATGAAATAAATATATACGTGTAAAAAAAAAAAAAATTTTTTTCAAAAACGAAATATTAGAACGAATCAGCATAAATCTGATTTCACTCAGTGATGAATCCGGTGGAGTCACCGTGTCGATAAAAAAAAAAGGGTATAGGGTTTATGAAAAACTATCAAATAAAGTTCAAATAGTAAATACAATATATAAACATAGAAAGAACTGTGGAAACAAGGATATACGTAATGAAAACATTTTTTTTTTTTGGAGAAAAAATTCTGAGCTTAACGCGGACGCGAACTAACGCGTCATGGGATAATAGTAACGTATGGCTGGGTTTAACGGGTATCGCCTAACGTCAAGTAACGTCCACAGAAGGTTTACACAAATCCGTAATATCTCTCAAAAGTCTTGTCGAAATTTGTTTTCACTGTTTACGCGAGAATTTTTTTTTTTTTTTTTTCAAGAATTTGTTGATCTTGCCGACCTTTTATAATGGAATCACTGATCATGTGATTTTCGATTTTCGTATAATTTTATTACTTTATATTACTGTATAAAACATATCTAAGATATTACTTCACTTTAAAAATGCTATATAATATTTAAGAAAATAACTTAAAATTTTATTGATTTTATTTGTTTATTTGATTTTTTATTTCTAATCAATTTGCATATTGACATGTTTATGAATCTTTGATAATACATTAAAATAATTAAATGGCAAAACATTTATTAATAAGTTTATAGATTTGTATATAATTTTTTTTTAATTCTTAACATTAGAATTAATTATCATATTGATCTTATAATCCAATTGTTTATTAATTATTTACTATAAAAAATAAAATAATAATAAATAATATAAATAATAATATATAATAATTTAAATAATAATAAATAATAAAATAACACAAATAATATTATAATTAAATCTATAAAAAAAGATTTTTGAAAAAAATCTCTCTTTTTATTAATCTTTTTGCCAATCCAAAAAACATATATACTTAAAATATTTTATATCTTTATAATAACAAAATCTATATATTCTCAAAAAAATAAAATTCTTACATATTTATTATTGATTTTTTGAAAATTTTCTTTTAAAGTTTAAATTTTTATAATTAAAAAAATAATTAATAAGATAATTGTTAAGAATAATAATAGAAATACTTGAAATATGTTTAGATTAATTAGAACTTGTATCTTCAAATAAATTGTTAACAATTGGTTAAATAATAAAAGAAATATTAGGAAAAAAGAAAGCTTAAATAATATCAATATCTGCAAAATTAAAAAAAAAATTCTAATAAATAGTAAAGACTGCAAAAGTTTTTTTAGCAATTTTGTCAAGATATATTAGTTTAAAATATCTAATAAATAAAACTAATTATTCTACTGTATTAATATATATAAAAAGAAAGTAATAATATATTAAACAAAATAATAATAGTTCTAACAAATATTAAAAAGCAAAAAAAATAATATAAAATCAGTTTCAAAAATAAATAAAGTAAAGATTATAATTTTCAATTAAGAAAAATAAAAAATATAGAATTTGTCTGACTGTTTTTGTTAAATAGTCTTTTTGATTAATTCTGAATTATTTAAATATAACTAATTATGTAAATAATTAATTATTCAAACATTAGATAAATTATTACAAATTTTTTATTACTAATATTCTCTTTATTAAACTTTGAATTTCCAAATTATATATTTTTCTTCACTATAAATATCTTTAATACTAAACAAAATTTGTACAATCTTTTTTAAGATTTATTTTTTTTATAATTTCTTTAAAATCAATAAGTTATATTTTATAGTTACTATCAATTTGTTATATATTGTTCTATATTAGAAAAAAAATAAAGATAAAGAACTAGTAACAAGAAGATACTTTATATAAATAAACAAATATTTTTTTTT